GTGGGCTATGTTATGTTCTTTACAGCAAAACAAATGATCAAATTGTTGGGCTCTTTTAGAGATTAAGGTGGTGGCTACTTTCGGCACAATTATTTTTGTTTTTCTCATTCCAGTTATATATAATTTAAAGTTTCTTTTTTCCACCAATTTCTCATATATATATATATTGTGGGAAAGTGTATTTTGCAAAATGAACCAATAATCGAACAAACTTTCCTTAATTGTATCAGAAGGTGTAACTTGAGCAACTTATATAACCATACAAGCGATGCGTGGACAAACCATACTATAAATCAGCCTTTCGTAATACAAGCAGAAACATAAAATGATACCTCGATTGATCCCATATAACTGATCCAGTGATCCCATACAAAAGACACTCCTACGACGAGCTTATGCTAGTCACAAAGCAATATTATTAGTTACTGCGATTTAGGGTTCTCAGACATAACTCCGTAACATGTTTTTTCACTTTGCATCAGTTTTGGATTAAACTCGATCAGATGTTGGTGCAGTTTAGGTCTCCCAATCTTTCATCTTCTTGCTCCCCTTTGGTTTTGCAATAGGAGCATCCATGCCTGCCATTTTCTTGTTGTATTTTTCGCGTAGAGGATCATTGGAAGTCCACCTGCACAATCATTCATCATGCAAAACAAATTCACTCCATAAACAGGAACACAAGATTCTCCCAACATAAACCGGTTCACATTTGCATGCAATGATTCATTTCAGTTCTCAGCTTAATGTTTCTACTCAAAATGCTTTAATAAATCAGATTTCAAAAGCCTAAATAAGAGCTATTTTCATATCAAAAGTCTATGACTAACCAAAATGCAAGGAAAGAAACGTTGAAAGCAGAAAACTTACGGGTTACTCCAATCGGTTGTATCTTCATTGACAAGATGAGTCCATTTAGTTCTTCCACTGCGACCAAAGTGCTTGACTTGCATGACTTTGGGCAGAATCGATTTGTCCAACCTATCTTCTCCAGTTGGAGCCGAGAAGTCACGCTGAAATATACCATCGGTTCCAACGGATCCTGCCTCATCATCCGGATCTGCCTGGAAGAAGGCACCCTTGTGGTAGTATTTTTGCATGAAATTCCATTTCTTTTTCGGTTGAGTTGATGAAGGTTTCGGATTCTTCCTCTCCCAATCCCTCCTCTCCTGCTCTGTCATGTTCCTCAACTTCTCTATTTCTTCCCTCTCTCTCAACATAGCTTCCTTTGCATCTCTTTCTCTCTTGATCCTAGCGATCTCTCTCGTCTTCCAAACTTCGTACTCTTCAGCTTCATTGATTTCGTCATCAGTTTCCACATCTCCAATATTTGCTTCTTCCAATAGTATGTTCTTCCGTATCTCTTCATCTTTCCTAACTTCCTCAACGACTAATTGCTTTGTCTCTATTTTTCTCATCTCCAGTTTCCTCTTTGCTAACTCCTCGAGAGCTAGTTCTTCAGCCTCAAGCCGCTCACGCTCTGCTACCGTATCTCTCTCAGCTTTTGGTACAAAAACAGGCTTGATCATGGTAATACCGGGCATATCCTCTTCCGAATCAGTCTCGTACTCAGACTCCTCCTCCTCATCCTCTTCTTCATCTTCTAGCTCTTCTTCTTCTTCTACAGGAAGTAAAGCAGCCTCCTCTTGTGCTCTTTTAAGATTCTTCTCTCTAATCCTTCTTCTTCTTTCTTCCAAAGAATCTTCATCTTCTTCCTCGTCTCTACTCTCCTGATTCCTCAACTCTTCTTCTTCAGTCGATATAATCTCAGCCTGTCTAATCCGTCGATGATCCGCTCTAACTTCTTCACGGTTTTCGATTCTAGTCTGAGCTAGACGTCGCAGCCTCGGATCATCTTTCCTAGGAACCCCTAAATCATCATGCTTTGGGAAAGCTCTATCCAATACATCAACTTTCTGCATCCTAACATCCTCATCTTGTTCGCCTTCCTCGGCCCACTCGGGTGCTTTTCCAGGCCAATATCTTCTCACTCTAGTCTGTCCAATCCCACCTCGTAGCTTTTCCCTTGTAGCAATTGCAGCATCACTCACTCCTGCTGTGACCGACATTTTTGCACTACTTGCGAGTAACCAAACCCAATTACGTTACCTAATTGATTCTGAATCCCAAAAAAAAAACAAAAAATCAGGGATTCGATTCAAGCTTTTAGTATTCACCAGGAAAAGAACATAGCTACCTCAGAATCGATTCTCAAAAGCTGAATTCTAACTGAGACAGCAAATAATCGAACAAATCGCATTCTATAAGAGAATCAGAGACGGAGAAATCCAAATCACGAAACTCCATGGATCTCTAAGAGAGAGCAAGGAAGCATAAATTAAATCAAATCCAGAAGAAATTGACGGAAAATAAACGAACTTACATTTTGGAGAAACCGAAACGGATAGAGAATGAGAGGATTCGACGGAACCCTAAGAAATCGTGGCGAGGAGGAGAGGAGAAGACGGAGAGAGAGGTCTTGAAACCGGCCAAACAAAGCCACGAGAAAAGAACTCATATAAACTCATTTAGAGACTTTAATGGGCTTTTATGGGCCTTTTTAACTATTGGGTTATATTTGAGCCTTCCGTTTACCATCTCGATCTAAAACAAATTTTATATTTACCTCTCTGACAATAGGCAATGGTTGCAAGAACTGATTGATGATTGATATGCTAGGCAGCTTTATAGGCTTTGGAGTAATGGAACAGAGTTAGACCTTGTGGATCCAATTGTTTTAGGTAATTGCCAGAAGAGTGAAATGGTTAAATGCATCGATATCGATCGGTGTTATATGTGTTCAACAAGAACCTTGTCAACCCATTTCTGTGATGCTCACTAGTAACACAGTAACTTTACTAGTGCCTGGAAAGATTGGTGAAGTGAGAAGGTATCAAAGGGTTCTAAGATTGGTGAAGTAAGTGCTGTTTCTTGTGAAAGTTTTCGCATTCCGACACACTCACACCTAGGAAGCATGGGGACGCCATTTTAGGCTACGTCCCCGTACCAGAAACATTTCGTGGACGGGGGAGACGTTTCGGAGATGGGATACACTGGAAATGGCTTGGGGACGTTTCGGAAGCGTTTTGTGTCAACCGTGGACTGCAACCAATTTTAGGGAGAGACGGTTTAGAAACTTTTTAAGACTAATAATAGGTGTTCCCAATGTGTTTATATGTATTTAACTCAGTTTTTTCAAAAGAAAAATATAAAGGAAAGGGAAAAATCTAATAAACTCACTTCTTTATATCCATTATACAAAAAAATCAATTTTTTTTTAAAATAAGATATTAAACTATATTTTTTCTTCTTATGTTTTGATTTATATAGTACTTATTTTTTTTATGGATTTCTTTTCCTATACTATATTGCTTTACCCGGTTTTTAAA